CACGGCGTGGGGGAGGCGGGGGGCTGCCCCCGCAGGCCTCGGGTTTACGCGTGCCGCGGGAAGGGCTATGATCGTTCTGGGCTGCGTCTCAGGCGCTCATTAAAGGTGTAGCCTACCCGGCCATGGCTCTGAGGGAGCTGAAAGTTTGCCTTCTGGGGGTAAGTACTCCGTGGTCGGCTCTCTGCGGGGCCCAGGCGCGGGCCGGGGACGGTGGGAGGGAGGGAGTCCGCTGAAGGACTGGCTTGAAAGGCTCTTTCTGGTGGTGGCGAGCCTCTGTGTGAGCCCCCTGAGCGAGGGTCCTCCCCCTGGGCGAAGGGTGGGCCTCGCCCCTACCGGAGCTGCCGGCGCGCCCCGGCTGCCCGACTCCGTCCCCCAGAGGAGACCGGGCGACGGGAAGGGCCTTCCCCTCCAGGGGGGAGGCGTTTTCTAGAGGTAAATATCTTTTTTTTTTTTTTCCCCTTTAAAAAAATAAAAGAGAGGGAGCATGAACATCTAGCGTATGCTCCCTCTTCCTTGTAAGCTATTCGGGCTTGGAATTCACAAAATAAATAAATAAAAGCACCTGAAATCGAGCTCGCGGGAGACGAGGACGGGTCTGAACTTTTTTTTTAAACAACATACGTAGGCTTTGAAAGTGCCCGAAGTGTTGCATGTTGTGGAAGCAGACGTTAAGCAAACCGAAGTAGAAGTTCAGAAAATTCAAGGCTATAAAGCTGTGTGTTGGCGTGGTTTGGTCTGAGGGCTTCAGTGGAGAGCCTGGCATTGAATACATGTTGTCTCCATCTGTATCCAAATTCTGTGTTGTACAGAGTGTGACTGGCAGAATTGTTTTCTGCTTCTAAATGGCCGTATTGCCCTTCAGAGGGAAAATTATGTGTTTCTCTGCTCTTCGTGTTATGAAGGCATTTGGGGTAACTACTAGCTACTGTTTGTGTTCACCCAACCTGAGAAACCTTTCATCGTGTAAAAAAGGAGAATAAGCACCTGGGAAGACTGGTCCTTGAACTCCTGGAGCCGGGAACTGCATCTTACGTTTCGCTGTTTAAGATTTGCTCTGCTTATTGAGACTGCAAACATTATAAAATACATAACTGGCATAATATGCTTTTCCTTGAGAGGAAAATAGCTTGAAAAGATAAAACACAAGCATACATATTGTACCCAAATTTACTACAGTATTCAGAAGATTCAAACAAATGCATGAATGGTGTAAAACTTCATTTTCAATGAAACCATTTCTAAGGGGTTTTTTCCCTCAAAATTTTAAGAACTTTGGAGATGTAAAGTGATTCTTCACCTGACTTAATTAAATGATAATTTAAAATGTCTAGCTGTTTTTTAGAAGAGTTTATTGCTAATAGTTTGTTGAGTTATTTCACTCCTAAATATGCCTTATTTTTTTTTAAGCTATGGAGTCAGTGGTGCAAATACATACATGACCCAGAATTTTCATGTTATGTTTCCTCTTGTACCATTTATAGCTCTGTAGAGTTGCATTAGAAACATACTTCAGGTGTGTCATATAAGAAATCTCAAGTCTTTCATTAAGCAGGGTGGGACAGTATTAGTCAGAGGTTGAAACGCATGTGTCACGCTTGTATAATTTAATGTGCTCTATTGGCTTGCAAAGATGGAATACCATACTCAATTGTTGTATATTTTACTAAAAGTGGTAGATGGTCTTTC